GTGGTGGGGCTCATCTCTGGGGGAGATGAGACAGCGTACAGAGCTGAAGTTTCAGAGGCTGTCCGATTGGTGTGTAAATAACAACCTGGACCTCAATACCACCAAGACAAAAGAACTGGTAGTTGACTTCAGAAGGAGGAAGTCTGAGCTGCAGCCTGTCAGCATCAATGGCGAGTGTGTGGAGAGGGTCTCCAGTTTCAAGTTTCTGGGTGTGCACATAGACACAGACCTCCAATGGAGCTCTAACACCTCTGCGGTTTTTAAAGAAGGTCCAACAGCGTCTCCACTTTCGGAGAATCCTCAGAAAAATGGACCTGAAGAAGGAGCTGCTGACCGTCTTCTACCGCTGCTCCATTGAAAGTGTGCTGACATATTGCATCGGTGTGTGGTTCTCCAGCTGCACCACAGCACACAGAAGAGATCTCCAGAGGGTCATCAATATGGCCCAAAAAATCATTGGACATCCTCTTTCCTCCCTGAAGGACCTGTACAGCACTCGCTGTCTCAAGAGGGCACGCAGAATCCTACGGGACTGTACACACTCGGGACACCGGGTGTTTAAGCTGCTGCTGTTTGGCAGGAGGTTCAGGCTGCTGAGGTCCCGAACAAATAGACTCAAAAACAGCTTTTACAACAGGGCAACAGCCCTGATCGATGCAAATAGCTGACCTGACTGGCTACCTCCCTGGACTTTTTGGGGGGGGCGGTAACAACGGTAAAAACAGTAACAATAATAATATTTATATTTATAACAAGGTGCAATAACAATTAATGTGCAATAATAACAGTGTGCAATACACATACACTTATTCTTCTTTTTTATTACTAAGTTATTATACTGTGTTGTGTTGTTTGTGTTGCGTTGTAATGTGTCGTATCGGGTCGTGTTGTGTTATATGTAGTGCCGACAGTTTTCCAATTTCATTGTACTATTGTACTATGTATGACTGTGCAATGACAATAAAGAGTTATCTTATCTTTTCTTAATTAAAAATATGTCTTCAGTTGGGGTGGCAGAATAAACTAAGCTTTGTTATGCACTGATGGTGCAAGTATAGGACAAGCAAGGAGTAATTTTCTTTCACCCACTGAGGCAGGTGTTGCAACATTGTTTTTTCTGTTGTAATAATCAGTAAAAATCCTCTTTGCATTCACCATCTGTTGAATCTGAATGTGGGAAGTGACTGGTATGAATACCAGCACTCACTTATAAGAATTTTTCTTCAAATGCATTGAATAGCAAGAAAAACACTAAGTGAACAGGCTGGTAACGTTTAGAAGAAGCTCCAGTGTATTCCTGCAGAAAATGAAAATACATCTTATTATTAGTTTTTATTGTAATATAAAGCGGGTAGTTCAGGGAGAGCTTTTTCAATGTACCCAAGAAAGCGTCGACAGGACAAGTTGCCTTCAATTTGTAATTCCCAGTTATCTCCGATCACCAGTTAAAGGGCTTGTTTACTAGAATCGAGGGACTCTGTGGATCTGTATTTTATGACTGTGCTTATGTGTGTGGCTGGGGCTTTTAATGATAGGGGTAGATGGTCTGTGTTTAGAGATGTGTTCTCTGGTATTGCCTCAGGGCTGGAAGGGTTGGGTGGGCTAGTGAGTCCCCATGTCTCTAAAAATACCCTTTGGGATCCCATTCAGAGGCTGAAATGCGCCTATTTGTGTGTGCGTCTGCATGACGCTGCTGCAGCCAGGCAAGCTAGAGGCTATTACTGGCCAGCAGGGTTGCTAGGGAGACCAGTCGTGTCAGAGAGGAGCAACATCTGTGGGCTGTTTGTTTGTCGAGACAGGTTTTCCTTTTTCTGTCTCACGTCTTTCTCTCTCTTTTCCCCCCCCTGTCAGTCAGTGCCAGGGAAAGACTAATGCTGCATGTTTTCAAGGTTCATGCAGAAGGCTCAGTCTCTCATCATTAGAGCTTTCACACATTTGTAAACATCATTCTTGCATATTGAGCTGATTTAGAAGCTGGGCTTTCTTGGGAAATAGTTTAGCTGTCTCTGCTCAATCATGCTCACAGTAGGCCCTTGGGCTGTCAGTCAGGAGGGACTTGGGGGGGCTTTTTTTCACTGAGTTCACGCCAGTGGAAAGGTCAAATTCTGGGGAAGCATTTAACCCCTGCCCCTTCGTGCTGCCTCTCTCCTCAGCTCCCCTCTCTATATGGACATGTTCTATTTCCACTGCTCCTTTCTCCTGGCTGCCTCCTCGGCAGCTCAGCGGGGCACAAATTCTCTTTTAATAGGTACATATTTGGGCAATAGGAGAAGTCCCATATTTGTGAGCAACCCCCTCCCCCCCTCCCCCCCCTCTCTATCCAGTTCTTGCCGTCTCAAGTCTTCAAAGCTTCTCTTCGTTGCACATGTTCTCTCTTGGTTATCCTTAATTTTTCTGTCCTGTAAGATGGAGCAGAGTAAGGGCAGTGGGTGGAGGGTGTGCATCTTTGGCAAACAGATGTGACAGGGCACTTCCCAAATTAAATTTGTTCTTTTGAGCATCCTTTAATTTGGAGCATTTTAATCCTGTTAAGGTCTCTAACTCAGCAGGGTGTTGTTTTTGCAGGGGCACCACAAACTGGTTTCAATGTTTATCATGAATCCAAGATGCTTGAGTTTATCTGAGCACAAGGAAACCTTTTTCAAATAAAATTCAGATGCCACTCAAGCACTTCTAGTAGTTCACCCAGAATATTATCTACGTATGTATCCTCAGTAATCCTGACCATATTTGGGGAAACCTGGTCTTGAAGGGCCCTCTGCATTCTGTGTGTAACAGGGCAGAGCGAACCTCTGACCTCCTAATCCGGTCTAAACGAGACCGTCACACACACACACGTGCACGCACAGACACACACACATGCAGCACAGTTGAGCAGTGAGTTTGTGACGTAACAGTCATTTTTGGAATAATATGGTATTTTCACTCTGCAAAGGCCAGTTACCTAACATTCATCCCCAAATTAACAGGCTCCTACCTCCATCACCTCTG